CCCTGTTGTTCTTTTCTTCAGCAGCGGCGAAGTGAATGGACGAATTCAAATGTTGCTACTCAAGCATTTATGATGAGCAAATCAGTAGCCTCTTTTTCAGGGATTCAATATTTTACCAATGATATTCCTTTCTTCTTTTCTGACTAATTTATTTATTTGTGGCTTGTTAACTCGACGAAATAAATGGCATGTTAACCCGACGTTAACAATGGGTCGAAATCATCACAAAATTTTCAGCCAATTTACAATTGTTTATCGTGAATTAGTCGAAGAGGGTTTTAAATGAACGGCGTTTCATCGTTTTCACTTAAAAAATTTCTTTGAAGAGAAGACATTAAGAGGAAAAAACATAAATTAAATTTCACTTGCGATTCCAGTAATCGCATTGTGACTCGCGTATCCGTTATTTCCTGTTACACTTTCTCCGCGAGTGGCTAAATGAAACTAAAAACTTCGTTGAAGATGATCTCTTACGAAATTTACAAAAATTAAATCTCTAAAGAAACTGCATTTCATATCGTTGCGTATGTTGTTGCATCAACATACGCAAGCTATTTAAATTGAACAAGCAATACGTATCAGAAGTTGAACTTTTAAGTCAATAATTGCTATATTAGTCTAGATAATTGAGTTGCAATTTCTTTGCCTGGAGAAAAAATGTTAGCTAAGGAACATCAATGCCATTTTTTGTAGCTGTGTTCTATACAGTCCATCTCTGTTCCACTTAGTAGTAGTATTTCTTCAGACACTTTATATAACCACTTCACCTCCCCCACAACAGGAGTCAACCGCTCATCCAAAATACGGAACAGGATGTAAGTCTGGCAAGCGACACTCTTAAAGTTCCATTTAATCCAAGCCATCCTCCTGATCCTGGACTTCAATCTTGAGTGTCTTTCATTCATCAAAGGAAACGGAGAAGTTTTGATTGCTGAGCTATTTGGCAGTGATTGCAACAACACCTTGATTGGAAAACCATTCTTCGGAATAGTGAATCTCAGGAGTCAAACGCTCAGCTGGAGCGCCAGACATCGATTTATGCAATGCAAATTATAATAAGACAAATTCTTATGCGTTACAGCATTATAGTGAGGGGAAGTAAGTGCTTGCCTTAAATACTGAATAACTTGACTGAAGGTATCTTTGTTCTATCCCTCATTAAATAATGTTCCTCGTGTCACTTTATGAATTAATAACACGTCTATTATACTTTCGATCTGCGCGTGAAGATTTATCAGCAATAATTTAACCTAATTTACCGCAGGATTTTGCCCTAGCTTGATTCTTGCAAGCCCCCAGCGAAGGCGACGAAGTTCAGGCGCTAACTTGGACCAGAGCGCGCGACCTGCCCCGGCGCGGCGCCGAACGCATACCAAGCGACCGGTCGCCGTCCGGCCACCGCGTTACGCTGACATCGCAATTTGTCCCAAAGAGCTTCAGATGAACTCAAAACTGGGATTTTTGCTCCGCGGCATTTCAGAAATCGTGAACTGTTGCAAAAATTTTGACGACGGTGTTTACTAACTGGGTGTTTGTTCTGTCGCCTGAGAGAACTTGATAAGATGTCGCCCTGATGTGCAAATTTGATAAGATTCAGTAGGTCAAAAAATTCCCTAAAATTGTTTTATCGCACCAACCTCGAAAATATTCGTATAACATCTATAAAATAATTATAAAATAATATAAGCCGCATAACTTTCTTTGATTTAAAAGTGGTAAAATACAAATTTTCAAACATGAAGGTAGCTGGAACAGGTGACTAATAATAAACGTTACGTGATTGATGTGATACCAAATATTTGATTGCATTGGTCCATTGATATTCTATTGTAAAATGAGCATCAGCCCGACAATATTGTATTCCTGCTATTTAGCAATCACCTCGTCTTAAAACATTTGTATTGCATCGACAATAAGATATACTATACGCCCCATGGACACGGCGGTATACAAGCAGCGTCATAAATACGAGTCCTGCTACCCGTGAGGCAGCACCCGATCCTGCAGCTCATTGCTACAAAAACTTATTGCAAATGAAGAGCGGTGCCTGCGCTCTGTGTATTGCGGATATGCACGGTGTGTTTTTTATACGTACACCAGACACTCGTTGTACACTTGTAATACACAGCCCGACATTACGCCTGAGAGATCATACATACATGATACATCCGAAAATTTCAGCTTCGTAGGCACAATCGAAATCGCTGATTCAAATTTACCGTTATTTAAATATGTATAGTGTCACTACTCTCTGCTTGGACTAGGTCATTCAATTTATTGTGTGATGGAATCATTGTAGCTGGGGCTTGTATAGCATTTGACTGTCACGGCATCTCCAACTCATTTTAGTCTAATTACTCCATCAATTATCTCCTGCATTTCAAAATGAAGCTTACGAAAACTGCGTACACAACATTTCTGCTTGCGCAAGGAAACTGAAAAACTTTAACACTAAAAAATCCCCGCGTGTTGGGTGTAGCTGATTAAAGTGTCCAGGGTGGGACATTAATCTAATCAAAAGGCTAGGACGAGCGTTAGTGCAGGTCATCAATCTTTTAGGTCCGGAAGGCCATTTTCAGGTGGCTGCCTTCAAACCTACGCCAAACTTTCCGTCTTCTCTTTTTTTATCTGAATCTATAAAACTATTACAATAAATGATGTTATTGGCATGAAAATAACAGCTTCACATCATGCAGGCATTATTCATTCATCCACGAACAATATTATTATAGCCTGCACTCTATTGGAGTCTTTCTGTATGCGGTCTCAGCGATGAAATATTTTTGCTGGTCGAATTACATGCTTTAGGAATGAGCTCTGCAAATATTTATTGCGGACTCTCTGGGCATTAGAAAAAATACTCGAACACGTTGTCTACATCTTGCAAATCATATGATGAAAATATATGCTTGAAGTTTAATAATCTGCATGAAATAATTTCGGAAATGGTAAAAACGTGTTTCCTGGACACAAATTCCTCAGACGGCACATAATTGCGTGTTGCGTCCGTAACTAAGACATGTATTTGTAACCATATTAAGTTTTTTTTGCATGACCATTAATCAAAATAGAATATTTAAAAGCTTCCTAAATAATAAGAGCTGTAAGCACCAATAAAACGCATGCACTTAATCATTGTTAAAAGATTGCGTTCAGGAATATTTGTTCATTATGCTGCAGTCACGTCGGTACCTCGTTAATTATAATTGGGTCATTACGACATTACAAACAGGCGCCTCCGTCATTGTGGAGGCTTCATTGAATAAGTATAAAATTAGTTCTTCTGTAAAATTTCTCTTGATCTCATTGCAGATTTAATTAAACAAACAATTATATTGCTTCCTTCTCCGTTGGTGATGTTTTGAACGGTAAACGACCAACTGAACACCCATTTATTTCCTGCTTCATAAAACTGGTAGGACTTTTCCGTGGCCAGTTTATCACCGGCTTTACCGCCGGTATGGTATCAGTGAATAAATATTTTAGGCTCTTTTTGCACATTTGTAAGTAACTATTAAATTTGGTGATATGTCTTTGAGTGGAAGTTTATTAACATTAAGTTTTCTGTATACCTTTGCTTTAATGGAGCATTTATTTTAAGTGTTCCAGAACATCACATGAAAATTAGGATTAAGTCACGGTTGTGATGAAAAGAGGGTTGAATGCAAAAAAAACTACAGCTAATATTCCGGCTAGTGTTCGTTTGATTTATTAATAGATACAAAAAGGAAATTGGTCAGAATTTCTAATCCCCAAAAATGAGCAAATTCACAAATGCACGAATTAAAAAAAAGATTTGGCGACAGAAAGTTAAGCAATAACAGTAATAGTTTTCTCATTCATGTATTTGTTGTCGTGCAAAACAACGTTCAATAGTGCAATATTGTTTTCAAGAAATAGTTAAATCATCAATGCAAGCAATAGTTAAAGTCGGGCACATTCTTGATTTTTTTTTTAAATGGAATTCACCATTGGAGACAGGAAATGTACTTAATGTCAGGCGTCGTAAATATTTGGAACGATATAAAACGTTTCGTGATTGAGAAAAACTAATTAGTTTCATAGTGAATTTCTCGTCTCATCTAGGACTTTTGACTCAATAAAAATCAAATTGACTTTTTTGTAACTGACGATTCATTGAGATAGCTGCTGGACTTATTGCCTGGTCCGTAATTTGCTAGGCATTTTAAGACTGAACATCTGCATCTGCATAACTTCGTCTAGTCTGTTCTTGAAGGCGTTCATACTCGGAGCGTCGACGATGCTATCAAGGAGGCTGTCCTGGCATGTGTTGTGAATCCCGAATTAAATTAATTGGCTTCCGTTAACTGTTGCCATTTTCTAGTTTATAACGTTCATTTATCCTACCGTTTATAAGCAATATATCGTTAAATAATTTATTTATTTCAATATAAAATATATATTATATATATTAACTTTAGTCTTTGCAAGACCTTTCTTCTTATTTATTTATTCCCTTTGAATAATATTGGGTAGAACACGAGGATTTTTTTAAAAGAAGGAACTGGAAAATGTTCCCGAAAAAATAGTATGAAATATTAAACATTTAACATTATTATTCTACATTTTAACTATGAAATTGTGCTTATGGCATTTTTCAAAGTCGCAATTTCTTTGAGTTTTTATGAATACATTTTCACGTTTTCTTGCTTCATCGGAAAAAGAACATGCAAACAAATGGACTTGTATAGGAATTTTAAATTTATTAACTTAAAGAAGATCGTTCAATTAGTAAACGAAGTTTTTCCCCCAGACCTTCCCTTTGAAGAATTACATAGCAGTAAAAACTGGTTTTATATAGTTATTTTTAAGGTAAGTTACCGTAGGACATCAAAATTATTTTGCCAGAATGTTTTTGACCGAATTTTTTAATGAATTAGAGCATTCTATAGTTTAATATGATTTTTTCGAATAACACTTTAGCGACTTTTATTTTTAATATTTTTTGGCGACCTTAACTCAGTTCAGTATCGTCTTACGACATCCGCACATGCTCGAATGTGCTGTTGTGTCCTCCAACGCCGGTGGTAGAACTAAGCAGAATTCTTGTCAAGCTTGATAAAAGAATAATTCATATTCACGACAGTTACCGGAAATTATATCGATATAAATTGCTGAAATGGAAGAATATGCCCGCGAACCCTGGTAAGACGAACTTGATTTAGTCGGTTACTAGTTGCAGGGAACTTGTAAATGGAGTTGCAACATGTTTATCTACGGACTAGGCTACCGTCAATGACTGAGCAGATACGGCCCGTAACTTAAGGCTGAAGCCTTGACTCGAACCTCATCGCTAAAAATTGTACTCCCTACAATACTGCTCAGAAAAGATTTTTTCGTTTTGATTACATAGCAATAATTACAAAGCTGCTTCATTTCATTATCTCTAGAAAATAGAAATTGAACCTAAGGTAAGGAGACTGAGGACAAGGTTCAATTAATATTAGGTATGACTGTTTTGTACTTTTGTTTAGGAATAATTCAATATTGAGGTCAATAATTCAATATTGGCGTTATTAATTCACTAATGAGGTAAAGAATTTAATATTTTCATTAATAATTCAATACCTATTGTCATTAATATTCAAATGTTGAGGTAAATGGTATTATTGCAGATTAACTACATCCAAAAAAAAGGTGTTTTTTTTTTGAATTATATGTTTTTTGGGGTGTAGATTACGAATCTGAAATCCATTTTTGGCGGTCGGCATCGGAAAACCGATTTTTTGCGATAATACCGATCACACGTAGCGCCTGTCTCTTATACACATCTAGATGTGTATAAGAGACAGGTTCCATATACTGATACACCCTCTAGAGTTCTTACTGATTGTCGAGAAAGGTCCCAGATCAGAGTAGGCTCAAGAGCAGACATGGTGTCTCCACAGCACAAACGACACATTAGCTGGGACCAAATTTGTTCAGAGCAAGAGAGGGATGCGCCAATCAACCCTCGTGTAAGTATAGTGACTGACACGGATGAGGAAGTTCCTGTTCTTCCAGAGGAGTCATCAGGTATTTCTGTGGTTGTGGACCATGTGGAACCCATCTGGTTCACTAGAGCAGTGAACTTTGCCAGGGCATCACCTGTGCCTCTCTTGTGTGTAAATTTGCTACTTGCTGGAATTAAGGTCTCAGCTCTCATCGATTCGGGTGCAGAAAGAAGCCTCATAGGAGAGTCTCTGCTGCCTCCAACCTGCACTATCGACCAGCGGCTAAAGTTCAAGATTCAGGGGATTGGTGATAGTGATGCGGTTACCTCGGTGGGACTGGTAACACTCCCTGTGAAGATGGGATGGATGGAGCTGTCCATTGAGTTTATAGTGATACCATCCACAGTAACTATTAGCTGGGGAGTTCTTTTGGGCTGTGATTTTTTAAGAGCCAACCAGTTTGAGGTAAATGTTGCTCAGAGGCGGCTTACCAAGCACCTGTCTCTTATACACATCTAGATGTGTATAAGAGACAGTTGCCACACACAGTGACGGAATATAGGGATTTGGTAGGTTTCCATTCTAAAGGCTTTTTAATAAATATGGCAACATTTTGTGACGTTTCATCATTGCTGACGCGTACCGTAGTGAAGTGTTTTGAGAGTCACGTGAAGGCAACAGAACTTACGTAACGCATACGTTTTTTTTTATAGTTCTTCATTTCTCGATGCGTCCTTAATGTGTTGGAATATACCGCGTTTACCCTAAACTGTGAAAATTCCTAACTAGCCTATTTTGAACTGAGATTTTTCAAAAGTACCTCTGAAACAATAGTTTTAATCTGGAATTATGGGAAATTTCTAGCTGAAACTTCTTTGGAAAATAGGGTAAACACGGTATATTCCGACACATTAAGGACGCATCAAGAAATGAAAAACTATAAAAAAATAACCGTATGCGTTACTCGAGTTCTGTTTGCTTTATTTGACTCAAAAAACACCGTACTACGCGCCAGCAACAATGAAACGTCACAAAATGTTGCCATATTTATTTAAAAGCCTTTAGAATGCAAACCTACCAAATCCCTATAATTTACAGGCAGTATTTGAAAATAAGGTACAAAAATTGGTTATGTATTTTATGTTGTTAATACAAAACTAGGCAAGGGGCATTGAAATGATTGATATTTTTACCCATTCTGGAAAATCTGCAAAAACACCCATTCTATGCTTGCAGTCCATTTGACTTGTTAATAATAAGAATACCACTGAATTTGTAAAGAGTTACATGGGTTATAAAGCAATAAGCAGATACCTGCAATTTTGCTAAAAAATGAAAAATTATTAAGGAGTATATTATTATTCAAAATAACTGAGATACCATACCGTAAAATGGGGTTACTTTGACCGGTGGGGTAACTTTGACCACTTCGTTTTTTTAACAAAAACCCTCAAAACTCAAAAACGATTTGACATAGAAAAATTTTGTCAATGGCCATCAAAGGCCTAATACTGAGGCTACATAACACAATAGAAAGATTTAAAAAGTTTGCATATCTAATAGGTTAAAAAATTAATAATGTGACCCACGAAACAGAGCTATTATTTAAAGCCTGTCGGAGTACCCCCTCCAATTTTTTGATTTTTTGGCAAAATAACTCCAGGTTTTGATGCATTGTAGTAGAACTCTTCTAGTTACAGATGCAAAAGACAAATTTTAGGAAAGTGTCATAGTTTGCAAATGGGGGGTGCCCCCATAGTGGCAAAGCAGAGAGTTTTTAGAATCTCCCTCAAGTTCATTTGTGAGTCCTATAAGTAGACCAGTAAAGTATCCTGGATACCAGCAGAATCATACATAAGAAATTGATTTAAATCTTGGGTAAACAAGGAAATTAAAAATGAACTGATTCTATAAAAGCTGTGGTTTGCCACTATGGGTGCCGCCCTCCAATGGGTGAACTTTGACCACCTGATGGCAGCTGTGATGGGGTAACATTGACCGGCTTGGAAATTAAGTTGAAATCACCATAGGTACCTATATAACATATTTTATGTTAAATGTTTTTTTCTTTATTTTTCAGACTACAGAGTCTTATATATGGTAATTTCAACTTAATTTCCAAACCGGTCTACGTTACCTTGTCACGGCTGCCATTAGGTGGTCACATTTCGCCAATTGGGCGGCAGCGCCCCCCATTTGCAAACTATGACACTTTCCTAAAATCTGTCTTTTGCATATGTAACTAGAAGAGTTCTACTACAATGCACCACAACCTGGAGTTATTTNATTTCTGAAAACCAGAAACCATTGTATTGCTAAAGAATGTAAACTATATGTATGTAATAATCAAATGAACGGTGCTCACTCAAATCCAAGTTTCAGTCTTGAACTGTTAAATTTTTTTGGTTTTGTCTCTTGTATGTCTGTTAGTTTAAAATAATACTTCAATCTTATACATAGACATAAAATGTATTATTAAATGTGAAGATGATAATTTTCTCTTATTATGGCCAGTTCTAGTCTTTCCTAACCCAGTATTGAGGAGGGATGACTATTGTGGATTAGGTGAAGATTAATGAAATGGAGATAATCTTTCTGATGCAAGGATATGATCATACTGACAAGTTGTAATTTCCTGTCTCCCAACTTCCATTAGTGAATAAGTTGAAACGATTCATTACCAAGATGTATTGTAACTTGGTCAATTTTTAAATTGCATCAAAAATTATCTAGAATTGTTTTTCAACTTTATCTTCACTCTTCAGTAGTGTGAAATTTTGTTGATGTCATTTTATAGCAGAGCACAGGAATAGGTGTCTCACCAATTGTTTTTTACAGCCCATGGCGTATTGTTGGTGACTGTGGTGGTGCATTCACAATGGGCATCATTGGTGGAGGTGTCTTCCAGGCTGTTAAGGGTTTCAGGAATGCACCAAGTGTGAGTATTGTTGCCTATGTCCATTCAAATGTTCTGTATTGCAATGTTTATTACTTGAGTTTCTTTAAATTGTTTACTTTGCTTTTCCGCTTGTTACTCTGTCTATAATGTAATTATATTTTGTGAAACCAACATTTATATTTGCCTACATTTTTATTATGTTTTAGTTTATCGATGTTGAAAAAAGTAAGGCTTGTTTTTGTCTGTCCATCTAGCCACTAAACAGTGGTGGAATGCGTTGTGATTTCTTGAATTCAACTCTTATCCCTTTTGTGGGCAAGGCAAGCATAGATATATGCAAAAATTTAGGTTTCTTAAACCTGTATATATAGGAAAAAAAAAACTTTTTAAAGATATATTTACTCAGATGTATTTATAAAAATTTTGCATGTTAGAATAGTAAATCAAACTTGGAGAAATTGTTAAATACAGTCACAATGCAACAATTTTTACATATACATTTAATCAAATTTAAGCATACAAATGTAGAGAGCAGCAATCTAAGATTCAATTCAATGAAGCTACTAATAATAATTGAAACTATATTGCTGTTTTGGGTAAGCCCTGTCTAAAAGGTCAATGGTCTGGCCAGCTTGTGAAACAGAACAAACAAAATTCGGGAGAGCAAATGGAATAGAACCAAGCAAAAAAAAAATTAATATAAAATAAGTGGTACATGGCAATGAATGGTGAAAATTAGTTGATTAGTAATGTGACAGCCCAAGCCTATCAGTGATGGGTGCTGCTCTGCAGAGATGCAGTGACAGAAAAACGTAAAAGCCAATCTAACAATAAAACACTTCAAACACATAAGTACACATTAAACTACCTAATACAAAACTCTAAAACAATTTTAAGGGATGACTGACTATATATACAATTATTTAATAATAAAATTTGAGACTAAGATGCGTGGCAAGAGTGTTCCTCTGACTCGCGTATAACCCTTTAGCAGGCAAGCATTGCAATATTCAGAAATTAAAATTTCAGAAACTAGTTCAAGAAAGTTAGAAGTACAATTCAAAATATTTATTTTATGTATTTTTTAAAATTTTCCATATTGAAGGTTTAAATTGCATTTGAAGAATTTATTTAATGTGGTTACTACATGAAATATTTTCTTTATGATGAAAAAAGTTTATGCAGATGAAAAATTAATAACATAAAAATTTAATTTAGTTTAATTCAATCAAGTTACATTGAATAATTAAATATATATTGATACTTCCACCTTTTAAAAAATGCGGAAAGAGCATCAATTTCATCGTCCAAGTCAAAACATTCATTTAAATGCTTATATTTTAATGTTTGGGCATGGCAGGTGGTGATGCTATGGATAGAAACGATGGTCAGATAATTAGTGATTGACTGAGACATTATGAAGACGCCTTAAAAACAAACGGGAAGCTGTGGTGGATCTCTTTGTGAGGGGATTTCAAGTGACCATATATGGTAACTTGAGATAAAGAGCCGTGAAGCTCTTGGGAGTAGGTCAGTGACAGATCAGTGTGAAAGTTATCAGAGACAGGCAGCAGGTCAGTCAGCATGGGTGAGTAGCAGGTCAGCATTGGAGAAAGGTATGCCGGACCATGGAAAATGTACTCATTTCGAAACATGTCAGTAAAACTGCTTCACGTTGAACTAGTCAGTGAATGTGATTTTGCACTGATCTGGCTATCTGGCTGTCAACTCTAGGATTCAAACACTGGGACAATAGAAAGAGAGGATTAATACAAGGCACTGAAACCTCTGATGAATAATTAATATACCAGCACGTGGCCCCTAAGGCACTAACATTGCTACTTCTGTCTGTTGAAAAATGTGGTAAATGTCAATTTAATTGTCAAAGTCTAACCTTTCATTTGAATGCCTTATTTGAATTTTTGGGCTGGTCAGGGGGTGTTGCTATGAAGGGAATCATTGTCAGATGATTGGTGATTGGCGTAGGCTTGATAGCCTCAAACACAAACCTGGGGCTGTGATGGGTCTTTTTGGGAGATTTCTAGCAACCATATATGGTAACTTGCCTGCAAAATGGTTAAGACTTGCATCCAACAAACTTTTGCTCAATCAACAAAAACTTACATCAATTATTTTTTTAAGCTAAAATTACTTTGACTGCACAACATTTGTATATCATTCAGATAATAAATACTACTACATAAACAAGTGCCAATTTATCTTTCCTTTAAGGCCCTGATTGAGAACCGAGAGGCTTCGAACAGGCTCAGCTCTTCCATATGCGTTTCTTCACTAATTAGGATAGACTTTACTCCACTCGCAAATGAGATGGCGATATAGATTTTTCCATACTTACCCAGCTATTTATTTATAAGCGACGACCAGTAACAAAAAATATGTAAACTTTGTATTAAAACTCAATTTGGTGAATTTGACTTTTGGTAAAAATTGAAAGTTCAAATATAAGGTTGTTATGATTTTTCAAATGGACATTGTTCAAAATCCAACAAAGTAAAAGTTTTGCATCACTTTAAATTGAGATTTTGGAAATACATCAGTATAAGCCTTAACACGTTGACTACGATTGCTTCATCTTGTACTATTATTTCATTTTCTGTACTTTTTTTCAAGCAGGGTTGCCAGACGGTCAATTTTTCCGGATAAATTCCGTGATTTAGTTTTTCTCAATTGCGTTGGCCGGCTAAAACTTATGATAGGGGTACTTACTAATTAAATTTTAAATACTGCAAAAAGAAAATAAATGAAATTTTTATAGCAGAACCTACCAATAAACTAGTATACATTGAATTATCGGCCTTTTTTGGCCTTTTTTGTTCTCGGATTTGGCCGATTTTAGGCAACCTTAATTATGTACCACTACGTCCTGGAGAAATACATTTCGTTGGTCGCATATGTACCAATACGTAGTCAACGTGTTAAGCATATACATACCTATACTAATGGAGACAAACATAAAAACTTGGAAATTTTCAATGCCCTGATGAATCCTGTGGTTTGTAAATTGTAGCTGAATACTTGTCGTTGACGATGAGGGCTTCAGCTATTGCCAGTCTTATTGTATTGGGGCACCGCATGACGATACTGGTGCAAGCTACCAATGCTGCGAGTGATGGTATGGTTGTGAGCCTCCTTCATGTGGTTCTTTGGTCCTTGACTGGCGGTGGACTGTGAGACCGTGGCCTGACCTAGTAGTCGTCAAAGCATTTTAGTTCGTTGACCAATATAGTTTATTATTATTAGGAAATCAGATATAATCTCGTCTTTATTGAAACGTGTATTGTACAACACCTTTCCTGCTATACCAATTTGTGCATTGTCATTTGCAGGGCTACAGACGACGATTTGCTGGCAGCTTTCTTTCAGTGAGACAACGAGCACCCATCATTGGGGGGCAGTTTGCTGTGTGGGGAGGACTCTTCTCTACCATTGACTGCTCTCTTGTTTACATGAGACAGAAGGAAGATCCTTGGAATTCTATCATGTCGGGGGCTGCCACCGGTGGTATTCTTTCTGCCAGAGGTGCGTTGTTATACTGATGTCTGTGACTGCTGGACTAGAGGGATTATGTTAATTGAAAACTATCTGTGTTAATGATGCAAACACATGTTGATTTTCAATTTAAATGAGGTTTTTATGATGGAATATTCTTGTGGCATAGGGTACCTAATGTAAAATGATTTAGGACTTGCTGCTTATTCGTTTAAACTAAAACATGTATCTCTACTGTACCATGCGTGGTGACCGTCATTTGCTCTTCACAGAAATGATTGCCAAAATAATTCTTTAAGGCTATGTAGTTCTTTTATGTTATTTCGTTAGACTCTCAATGCTAAGAATCTACCAATAGATACATGAAGTAGTGGCTCTATCCTGTTCTGTTAGTTCTAAGTTAATTTGCCACTAAACTAAGTTCTATTGCAGCCGGTTTGGGAGCGATGGCAGGGTCAGCCCTGCTGGGTGGCGTGTTGCTGGCCATGATAGAAGGCATGGGCATCATGATCACGCGCTTCACATCGGAACAGTTCAAACCCGTCGGGCCTGGCGAGATGAACGATCCGGGCGTTCTGGGTCCGCCTCCTGCTCTTGGTGGCATCTCCTCCGAACACAATAGCTATCAATAGACCTTGTATATATATTCTTAGGAATTTTTTTTAGATGTCACTCTTTATGAGTGACCTGTTAATAGGGCGCTGCAAGTCTGAAATTAGGCAATGAAGATAATGAGCCTTCAATCTGGTTCTGCAATCTTGCCGATGTTGTGTTAATAATTGTAATTGTCTGAGCGCTATTATTCCTTTGTATTATTCAATTGGTGTAATTCTCAACTCTGATTGCCATGTAACTTGATCTTCTCTCCTCCGTACCGCTTTTCTACGACAAGCGCGGCTTCTTCCTTCTTGTAAATTTTACTTTTCTACAACAAAATAAATCTAACTTGATTTTAAATAAATCAATCTCGATCTTCAACGAAGAAACGCATTAGAGTATTTCTCTAACTTTTGAAGTTTCCATCGTTCGTTCAATATTTTTTGACAATTAGTTGATTATTCAGCCTTAATTAACTGTCAGTTCTGTAGTGATTTCATTTTGTTTCGTTCTTAGCCTTGAATGCAAAATTTGGTTGTTAAATACTAAGCGACTCTAAATTGCATGGTATGGAAAATTTTGAATAAAGTCAGAGCCCGCACCACTAGCGTAAGGGCGCTGCATCAGCCTGTCCAAGACCGAATTATGTTTCCAATTGTGTCTTGCAGCAATTTTTTTTCTATCGTGACTGGTTTATTTCTCGCTTCAAGGTAAAACTATTTTCTGTATAGCGTCTTGGCTATTGCTTTAATTTGTCTAGCGCTGAAGTTCGCTGGGTAATTTAACCGTAAAGTCTCTTATTAATAAGGAATTGATAATTCTTAGTTTATAGGACGCAGTGTAAATACCGTACTATTTAGGAAACGAAGTTATTTTTGTTCGAATAAAATTTAACCAGTGAAAAAATTCTTTTCATTTCTCAATTCCAAATCCAAGTCTTGGCAATTGAATGCCTAAATCCGACGAAGGTAAGAATCACTTGAATCGATTAAGCAAAGGTTTTCGTTGAAAATGATTAAATGAGTAGGTATTAATATATAATACTTGAAAAGTTTATTTATTAGTGAGCTGTTAACCAGCTTTAAAATTGGGAAATTTTTCACGTAAAGGTGAAACTTTACGCGGTGATGAAATGTATTCATTCATTCCAATGAAACGCTATGTTTCACTTGTCCATTTCAGTTCTTGTGGATGACGTCATCGCCATAGAAAGTAGCAACCGAATTGGATTAGATATGCTTTTAAAAGTATTCGTAAATTTAATGCACTGTTAATCACGAACTTATACAAAGTTTGTTTGTCCTAATACTTCGATCTGTATTTTTACGATAAAATTTTTGGTTTGTATTCGCAGTTTTCATACATTCCACTCATTAGCTGCTTCCTAAAGTTGAGGTGACAGATTACTGCTGTAAGTGCTGTTTAATTGCGCGAAAGATGAACAGTTCTCAGCTTGTTTTTTTTTTCTAAAGATGTATTGAAAACAAAAAGCCCTTATGTATGTACATAAATTGATATAAGTGCAATATACATACTATGGTATACATACTTCATACTTGTTCCTTAATCCTTAGTATTTTCGGTTAGCCTATATCGGTTTCATTATGCTGCCTATATTTTATGCACTGGTAATTTGATAAATATACCTTACGCCTACGGTAGCCAATCGTAAACCAAATTGTTAGACTTCTGCATTTCTTATTCATTCTCAGCTCCCAGCTTCCCAAGATAGTAATAAATATTGAGCAAAAACTATATGATATCTAATTGGCTATCGTATTACACGATTTTTTTATTGAATCAAACTTCTCTCTTCTCTCAAATTCATAACTTTACTAGGTTACAGGTAGGGTCAGGAAGGGCCTTGCCCTGGCCTAGTGCCAGCTAGTGGCCTAGGTACCTTAAAAGTTGAGGCTAAAATACCTACACAGTATACTACTACTACTGATGGTGATGTGTATTGAGTGATTTGAGTCACATTGGTTTGGACTACTTTTAAAAAGTAGGTAGAAATGTAGAATAGGTAATTCTAAAAAAATGTTGCTAGGCTATCAATTAATAATCAATATGCATGATGCATCATGCATGCAGACATGATACAGTGTCCTGTCTGTAACTTATAAGGACTTTTTTAAGGTGGACGATGGAGTAGCCTATGGACAGATCAAGATGGAAAATTGCCTTTTAGAATAGAATGGAATAGAAATGTTGGCACTGGACTGAAGAAATAGGCCCATGGCCTGTTGCTGATTCATGTACTTTTCTCATGACATGATTCACTTTCACTAGGGATCTGGCCTTTGTTAATAATCTTTCCATAAGTGCCATAACTGACATCTGACGATTGATTGAGATAGCTGCTGGACTTATTGCCTTGTCCGTGAGATGCTAGGGCAGCTGCCAGCTAGGCTGCTAGGCCTTTCAACTCATGGTTTCAAGACTGAACATATACTCTTGCATAGCTTTGTCTAGTCTGTTCTTGAAGGCGTTCATACTTGGAGCGTCAACAATGCTATCAGGGAGGCTGTTCCACATATTGGTGAGTCAGTGACTCGAAGCGAGAAGAAATGTCACATGGATGTGTTATAACACAATTTTTTTAGTTTATTGCTGTGGCCCCTGGTGTTAGTTCTTGTTTCAAATTCTAGTAATCTAGTTCTGCCTTTCTGGGACTTTGTATAAACCTTGGCTATACTTGTATGCTTCAATGAGGTCACCACGCAGATGTTGATAATGGAGGCTTGGAAGCATCATAATTTTTAATCTTTCTTCATAAGGCCCACTGTGCAGAGAGTGGTTTAATATTGCAAGATCTTTGGCGACACTTCAGTAACAAAATTTACGCCTTCAGAGGATCTTGTCAACACATTTACATTGAAATTCTAGCATTTAATATATTTGCCAGTCTTTGGCCAACTAATTACAAAAAAGTAAGGTTTCTGGTATGTTGGATGGATCAGGATGCAGTGAAGCTTGTCCGGAAATCAATTGCGATGACTTCCCGCCAAAATATCCCACGCAAATGTAAACAACAAGTTTACGATTGCGTAGTTGCGGTCACATTAGAATGGTCAGACTGCATTATCACATGTTCAGTTGACACTTGCTGTACAATCACTGATTTTAGGGTAAAATTAGTTATTTGGGGCAACACATGCATGCAACCTTGTAAATAAGTTTGTGGCTTGTAAATAGTTTTTCATTACCCAGTGTAAATGGCTTTTCATTAAAAATTACCAGCAGTGTGGAATTCCAGAGGGGTAATATATTAATTGGTAAACATAGCAAATCAGAAAGCAGGACCCAAAAAACTGGAACATCCAGCACACCTCCACTTTCAGTCCATCATCATCATTGATGAGTCTCCACAAGATGCCACAGCTGTTTCATTGAAAAAACAGTGCTTGCATCATCATAGTAACAAGAATCCAATCAACGCTTGAATGCGTCCAACGTAACAGTCACAAGAATCCAATCAACGCTTGAACGCGTCCAACGTACTGTCACAGGGATCCAATCATTCAAAGCAGAGAGTTTTTTAGACTTTCCCTCAAGTTCAGTTTTGAGTCCTATAAGTAGACCAGTAAAGTATCCTGGATACCAGCATCATCATACATAAGAAATTGATTCAAATCATGGGTAAATGAGGAAATTAAAAATGAACTGATTCTAAACAATCTCTGGTTTGTCACTATGCCGTCATGCGTCAATGACTGAGCAGATACTGCCCTTAACTTGAAGCTGGAGCCTTGACTCGAACCTCATCACTAAAAATTGTATTTCTTAAAATACTGCTCAGAAAGATTTTTACGTTTTGATTACCTAGCAATATTTACTAAGCTGCTTCATCATAATATCTAGAAATTGAACCTAAGGTAAGGACAAGGTTCAATCTATGACTGTTTTGTACTTTGGTTTACAATTTACATTATTAATTTATTGATTGTACCTATTGAAAGCTAACATAACAACAATGTCTCTATACTCTATATACTGTAATAATTCCTAACTATTTTGAACTGGGAATTTTCAAAAGTACCTAGGGTAAACGCGGTATATTCCGACACATTAAGGACGCATCGAGAAATGAAAAACTATAAAATAATAACCGTATGCGTTACTCGAGTTCTGTTTGTTTTATGTGACTCGCAAAACACCGTACTACGCGCCACATAGTGGCAAACCACAGCTTTTTAGAACCAGTTCGTTTTTAATTTCCTCATTTACCCAAGATTTAAATCAATTTCTTATGTATGATATGCTGGTATCCAGGATACTTTACTGGTCTACTTATAGGACTCACAAATGAACTTGAGGGAGAGTCTAAAAAACTCTCTGCTTTACCACTATGACGCGCCAGAGATGTGTATAAGAGACAGGTCTTCTATCGTCAAACTTCGCGGCCCTGCTCGCCTGCCAAGATTTCAGCCGACTGAGCACGAGTGAAGAGACCGGGCAAGACAGTTCTTACAGAAGACGTACGGGAGAAACACAATAATCGACAGTCAAATATTCAGAATATCTGTAGTTGTACAGAATTTACGAGTGTTATTTTCTAATAAAATTATAGATAGCCCGCTAGCTTGGCAACACTGCGATAGGAGGTTTATGATTTGTTTACATTCTGTCCTTCATCTCCCGCTGATCCTCAAAACAGGTTCGTTAGTTAAAGCTTTAGGTCTCTAGAATAGGTCGCTTCCAATCTCGTTTACTGAGTTGGTAATGACTGGCACTTACCCAACACATCAGCTAAATGCGTCCCATTTGAAATGTTCTTCATGCATTAAAAGAAAAATATTTATATAAATTTTAGCTACTTAATTAAGCATGGATCAGGCCGTTGTTAGAGCAGGAAAATTTGTGACTTAGCAGCAATNAACAAAACCCCAAGAGCTGGGGTAACAAAGACCATCACTTTTTTTGAAATTACATCAAAACTATGAGAGGCAGGAGCTAGCAATTTATGGTAAGTAAAGCTAGAGTATAGACCTGTATTTTGCACGTTTCAATTTAAGTTTAACTTATCTAGTAAAAAAATTGCATCGTTTTGAAAAAAAAGTGGTCAAAGTTACCCCA